TAATTTTAGAAAGTTCTCAAATTACTGTAGTTTACTGTTAATTATTTGCTTCTTAGTTTTTGATCAATGCACTTCTAACCTTAAAATAGGAAAAACATCAGAGCTATAATTTGTAATTCAGGCAAATGATGGGCTTTTTAATTAATTACACCAACTAAAATAAATTTTTTCCCACCATCTTATCCACGGCTTCCTCCACCACACTCTACCCTAGTAACATAGCTAAGAATAAAATAAAAAACATCTTTAGAGCTGAAATTTCAAACTAAAAAAAAATATTATTTAATTGTTTCTATGTAAAGTTAGCAAATAAAAAGGAATAAAAAGGTACTAGAATCATGAGTTACTTCACAACAGAAGTACATTCTGAGGATTGTATCATTGGCAGTTTTGTCACTGCGTGAACACCATAGAGTGTACTTACACAATCCTAGATGGTATAGCCTAGTACACACCTAGACTTTATGTTATAGTCATCATAATCTTATGGAACCACCATCCTATGTTTGCTCAATCATTGAAAAATCATTATGTGGCACATGAGTGTAGTTATACTGTTACTACTAATTCCCATATCTTGTCATTGTTGTTTTGTGTTCTGAGTTGTAATAAGTTAAGACTTTCTATGCAAAGTTGAAATTTTTTTTTTTTTTTTTTTCTGACCGGTAAGGGGATCGCAACCCTCGGCATGGTGTGGTCCACACCGGCCATCCCTATATAGGATCTGAGCCTGTGGCCTCAGCGCTCCCAGTGCTGCACTCTCCCAAGTGAGCCATGGGGCCGGCCCCAAAGTTGAAAATTTTGAGGCACTAACAGAAAATATGGACAAGAACAGGAGCACTATTTGTCCACCAACTTCTTAAACTAGTATAAAATGCAGATTTTCAGTTTTCCAGGACCCAGCGCTAAATTGTGTAAACAAATTTGTTATGGGCTTTCATAGGAATTTAGATCATTGTGCTCCATTTATTTGAAAGTTATTTTAAAAATGTTTACCCTCTCCTCCCAATATTTTCAAAACACCTCAGCAATAGAAGAGTACTGAAGTAATACAATTTCTTATTAGGGTTTGAGAATGAGAGACTCAACTTGATGTTTCTGATATGTAAAATGAAGGTATCTTGCACAGGACTCTAATGGGATTTAAAAATTAACACCAACTCCTCATAGCCTACTTTGTTAGGATACAAATAATTAACTCTATTTCTTAAGACATTAATATCTCTTACGTTCTGTCAGGTTTTACATAGCTGATTACTTTTTCCAGTTTTTAATGGCTTAGCAAGGCAAATCAACTGCATTGTTTTTATACCAGGTTAGTAACAGGGTAGTGCTCTGTTTTAGAAAATATAATTTAAAAAATCAGTACTCTAAGTTTTTTTTAACATTTATTCTTGCAGCAATACAAAATGTTCTCTTTCATACTCGTACTTTGATCAAAGACGTGAAAATATTATTCAAAGTACTTTTTACTTATGCATGCTATAAATGGCAGAGAATAGAAATGTTTAATATAAAAAAAGAAAAGGCGGATGTAACATTTATTCTTGCAGCAATACAAAATGTTCTCTTTCATACTCGTACTTTGATCAAAGACGTGAAAATATTATTCAAAGTACTTTTTATTTATGCATGCTATAAATGGCAGAGAATAGAAATGTTTAATATAAAAAAAGAAAAGGCGGATGAAATAGGCCTCACATGATTTACTAGAATCTGTGGGGAATTGCATTTTGTACCCTATCTGCATAAATAGTCTTAAGAGACTACAGTGCCTTTTTAAATAAATTGACTCCTAAATTACTTTCCACTCTACCAAACACACGTCATTTTAAACTCTCTAAGTTCTCTTTCAGTTACCATGCACCAGTCTAGACAAATTCTCATTAAGGCTATAACTTTCTTTCAATTACTAGAGCACTATGGAGACTCTTTAATAAGCACAGGCCCAAAGATTAAAGTCTTTGCAGAGATTACCTGACTCATTTTTGAAGAGAGCAAGCATCTGACCTTCATCAAAAATATCGTATCTAAGGCTGTGCGAAGTAGTACTACTTGCCTTCTACAAAATGAAATATCTAGTTCTTTGTCCCTGTCTTCAGCTGGAAGGACTGTGATTCACAGTAAATGAGGTCAGTGAACTAGAGACCAAAATCCGTCTGGGGGGAAAAAACACATGTAAATAAATAGTACACAGTTGTGTAGAATTGTCTGCCATCCACTCAGCTCAGGCCATTTTCTAGAAAGCCTTCCCTGACATGCCCAAATTGAGTTAGGTTCTTCTGTAGCACATTGTATTTGTCACGTTATATTGTAATTATGTGTCTATTCCCACCACATAAGCGTTTAAAGCAAAAAGCATGTCTTATTCATTCATGGAAAGGACACAATATCATCACTAATGCTTACACTTCTGATCCAAGAGTAATCAAAATAATATATTTATATTATGTACTGTTAAACATAATAGAGATATGTTTCCTTTCCAACACATTCTGTCATGTAACTGTAGGCATCAGCATTATGTTATCACTTAACATATTTCATTCAAATTCATTGAAAAAACATCTGTCAGAGTAAAATGTTGATAATTTTGACCTTTGCAAATGACTCACCTTAATCCCATATATCCTCCAGGAAACAATTTAGTTAAAATTTCCAAAATACAATGGAAAGAACCTCTATGTTTATAATCATAGGGAACTGCATAGGAGGGTGGTGAATTGGGATATAAAACTCCTGGGCAGTGAAAGCCCAATCCTTCAGGGTATTTGTACACATCAATTGTGGAAACAAGGTCAAGTTACCCTGAGACTCTTTATGTCAGAAAGCCCCTATGTTCCTAAAACTCTAAGTGGGAACTCAATACATTTTTCTATGGTAAACTATCTGTATGTAGTAGTTGGGTACTATTTTGGTATTAGTGTACAATATAACTCTCCTGGTCTACTAGAAATTAAACAGTTTTTATGGACTAGGCTGGAGACCTAAACACTGCGTAGCGTTATTTCTAGTAAATATGTTTTGGGTTCAAAAACAAAAACAAAAACAGTTTGCAACAAATTTGAAAATCTGTGTGTAGCTTGAAAACTGTTATGTGAACTACTAGTCAGTTATAATGAAGTTCCTCTTACAGGGAAAACAATCAATTACATTTGGTTTTGCTGAGCTAGGAATAGTTGAGATAACTGCCAAATTCTGAAGATGTGTGTGTAGGTGTACCTGAATTGCATTCCTTTGTAACTTTATATCTTTTAGAATAAGTTAGAAAGTCAGTCGCCAGTTCAGGACAGAAAGAAAATAATGATGATTTATAATTGGACAACTTTTGGCATACATTTAAATGTCTAGGCGTATCTATATTTATGTGTATAATATCTATGTGTATGTATAAAGAATAATTTGTTGCTTCAATGAATATTTATTTAGCACCTATTTTTTGAGACAAGGACTAGTTTAGATGTTAGCATGGATAAAATAGACATGGTTCTTACCCTTATAGAGTTCATAGTTTAAAATATGGCAAACAAACTGGTAAGTAATATAGGGCTGTAAGTGATAAAAGTAACGATATGTTTATTCCCAATATGGCTGGGAATCTCCACATCTTCAAAATCATAAATAATCCCCAAGGACTGGAATGGTGAGTTAGAGTTGACAAATTGTAATGATGTAAAAGAAGTAAATTGTTACTACTTATTACCTTCCATTTTTCACCTCATTATTTTTGAAAGTGATGGAAGATAAAAAATGAATACGGTGAACTTATATATTGGATGTAATATATGGTGACATTAGACTGTGAGGTATAATAAATTTTTGGTGAGTCATTAACTGGAATTTTCAGTTGCATTATCCTTCTTGGGAAAGTCTTAAAATTTTGCATATCCTTTCCCATGACAATTGTGCTTCTACAAATTTCCTAAAAGAACCATTGTAAACATTTTGCAAAAATATCGCAAAAGCATATTCTCTGCAGTACTCTGTGATTAGTTATGTATGTTATACATGACAATTGTGCTTCTACAAATTTCCTAAAAGAACCATTGTAAACATGTTGCAAAAATATCGCAAAAGCATATTCTCTGCAGTACTCTGTGATTAGTTATGTATGTTATAATAAAGCATAAGTAGAATATTTTATTTTTTAAAAAATTATAGTCTAGAAAAAGTATATAAAACCATGAGAAAACTCATGTAAGTAGACTACACAACAAAGCATAATACTTTATATTTTATAAAACAATATTCACAGAATTTTATGATATTTATATTTATATATTTAATATTTATTAAAAGGCTATTAACAGTGGTTATTATTTGAGGATGAGGTTAATCAAGATATTAATTTTCTTCCTTTTGCTCATGTGTACTTTCTAAATTCATAACTTTTATAAATTTTAAATTTCTTAATAAACCCAAATTGATATCAGTAAAAAAGTTTGGAAATCTCCAAAAAGAGAGCAGAGTAGAATTACTTACCCTAGTCCCAGAAGTTGACAAACCTCATTTGAAATCTGGGTGGTCCAGTTCTCAGCACAAGCTACATGCCACAGGTTCTGGATCCTGAACTGCACCAAACCATTGTTGTTCTTTGTGCCATTGAAAAGACGCACTCTCATTTGAAATCTGGGTGGTCCAGTTCTCAGCACAAGCTACATGCCATAGGTTCTGGATCCTGAACTGCACCAAACCATTGTTGTTCTTTGTGCCATTGAAAAGACGCACTGAAGAGAGTAGAATGCGGGTTACCAGAGACTGGGGTGCAGAGGAAGTAGGAAGATGTTGGTCAAAGGGTACAAAGTTTTAGTAAGACCAGAAATAAGTTTTCTGACATACATGGCACAGCACGGTGACTACAGTTAATAATTACGTATTGCATATTTCAAAATTGCTAGGAGAAACAATTTCTAATTTTCTCACCACAGAAAATAATGAATATTAAGGTAATGGGTAAGTTACTTTGCCTGATTTAATCATTCTACATTGTATACATATACCATAACATCACTTTGTATCCTATAATTATATAAAATTATAATTTGTCAATTTATAATAAAGTTAAAAAAAAAGCTAACACACACACAAAGACATTCTAAAGAGATTAGATCACACACAGGGTCATTTTGTACTAAGCTGATAAGAGTAAATGATGGCCTCTAAGCTAAATGTGCAATGTTCTTAACATTTAGAGTTTTGAGATTGATTGTAGTTTTTCTTAGCATATTGAAAGGCCTAAGTTGAAAAAGATAAACTTGGTAGGCTTAATTTAGCTCTTTCATATAACTATAAAAATGGAAAGGTAGAGATATGCAATTCATTACAGATCAGTACAGCAAATAAACAGAAAATAATGTCATTCATGTCGAGCATATCTTAAAAACTTGGATTGTAAAAAAAGGAAACTCAAGTTGAGGAACAAATTCAGGCATTTTTCATCCCCACTTTCTAGTCCAGAAGCTATTTTCTGTACATTTGCTCTTTTGCTGTTTGGTTTTCCTCACCTTTCCCATCATCTTACAACCATTTTGGGTAGAATATTAAGATTATTAGTGGCTAGGAAGGGACTGGACAAGGAAAACCTCAGGAATGGTAGTCTTACCTATGAACAATAGGTACCATTTGGTAGTTATTGTTCACATTTGTTTCCTATTATGAGAAGAGGACATTGACTTTAGACTCAGACAGACTTAGGGTTCAAAACACAGCTCCAGCTCTTACTTAGGAATGTGATCTTTGGCAGACATATAACTTCCCCAAGTCTCAGTTTCTGCATGGCTAAAATAGAGCTAATTCTTATTACAGGGTCGTTTTACAGCACTTAGTTACAGTGCATGGCACTTAGTATATAAGCATTAAATATTTGCTTAGAAATAAAAATAAAACATAGTAAAATAATCCATTTCTAATACTGTTATAGCAATCTGGAAGGGAGGATGGACTGAAAACTCAGCAAGGTAGTAGGAGGAGTAAATATGGAAGAACTGAAAATGCAAAGAACCAAGTTTAGGAAAGTCAGTTATAAGTGAGCATGTAGGTGCTTCTGTACATAGACAATGAACAGAAGTTAGTAGTCAATGAGAACATTGCTCCAGTGCCTGGCTGGGACTGCTGTCTCTCTCTGGTATTTTATGCTTTCTGTCCAAATATGGGTTGTCCTAGACTTACAGTTGTTAAATGTAGCCAAATATAAACAAGTGAAAAACAGAGACCTGCATGTTAACATTTCTTCTAACCAGAATGAGGACAGAGGTGCAGAAATAACTGGGAGCTGTTCATACTCCAAAGCATCAAAACACATCCTAATTAACACGTGCAATTAGTCTTCCTGTCACATATGTAAAGTCTAAAAGTAAAGGCCAAAGTGATAAAAGTATTTTTCTAAAAATAAGACATACCACAATGTGCTTCGTCTGAGGCGTCCTCACAGTGTGGGTGGCTGTCACAGAGATTCTCCAGCGGGATGCACTCTCCATTTTCACACTGAAAATTGTCTTCCTTGCAGGGCTCTATGGGAAAAGAATGTTTATCATACAGGATAAATAAATTACAAATAGGTAATTTTGGAGTACCCATTTTATTGTGCTGCCTTAAAGATCAGCTCTTTGCCAGAGCACATGGTGGAGCAAGCTTTGATACTAAACTAGATCATACTGTCACTTGCTCAGAATGCCTCAGAAATAATGTCAGAACCATAGATGTGACTTGAAAAGAGTCTGGAGGAAACTTCAGCTATCTCCTTTAGAGCAGAACTTGGGAAGTTCCAAGTGATGGCTGACAGGTTTTCGAAATAGCCCTTCCTCATAATCTCTGTTAGTGTCTCTCCAATAAATTACCCCCACCCCAAATAAACATACAAGCAACAAACACTGGAATATTACTCAAGCATAGACAGGTCCCCTTGCTTCACCATCCAAATATGCCTCCAAACCTTTATAATAAAGAAATGTGGAAGCTGCCCTCTGGTGGGACCAAAGTTGTACTGGGTTGGAAAAAACATACAAGCAACAAACACTGGAATATTACTCAAGCATAGACAGGTCCCCTTGCTTCACCATCCAAATATGCCTCCAAACATTTATAATAAAGAAATGTGGAAGCTGCCCTCTGGTGGGACCAAAGTTGTACTGGGTTGGAAACAGCGGGTTCAATTAAAGCTTGGTCAGATGGGAAAGAGTAGTCAGAAACAAGTGGAAACCCCACAGTAGGAGTACTGTGAAAGGAAGCTGGGGATGCAGCTCCAAGCAAGCAAAGTTGTGTTGGAAGCATGGGGATGACCTTGGCACATGGAGAGGCAGGAGGAAATTGAAGAGGCTGGACAAAGAAAGAAATGGGTAGATCTGGAGGCACTTAGTGGTTGCTTCCAGAGTTTGAGTTGTGCAAAAAGAGGCCTATTGAAAATATTCATTATATAGAGGAAGTGGGTGCTGCTGTTTTCTGGAACTGTTTGGTTTGAAGCATTCTGCCTCAAGAAAGCCCTCCCATCACTGGGAGGGGGAAGTTTTCTTCCTTCAAGTTGCTTTCTGATTATGGCTTAGAAGAAACAGCTACATACTGAAAAGATACCAGGAACTCTGTTGAGGACCACGTGGCATTTAGATCCTCTGATAATGGAGATGGTGGCTGGTATGGAGAGGCTTAATGTCTTATCCTCTACAGAGCGAATGGACAAATCATAAAGGGGAAGCAAAAGCACCTGATAAAAATAAGAAACAGCGAAACTTGCATTTTGAAATCTAATAGCAAATATTATTCAATATAATAATATAATCATTATTTTGCTTTCAAGTAGTCTCAATTCAAGTTAAATTAATTTAAAAAACAAATTGTAATAATCTCCATGGAGACTTGCTCAATTCATGATGACCAAATGTAATGGGGCTTGAAAGAAATCATCCCTGTTGTTTCAGAATTTAGGCTGTACACTCAGATCTGAGAGCACTGATAAATACTATTACACTCTCAAGAGAGGTACTAAATATAGCCATACAACACTTATGAGAAAAAAAAAAAAAACTGGTTTAGCAACTATCATACCCATCACCTATTTCCAGCTATTTAAAAAAAAAAAAAAAAAGGAGGATTGGAGTTTTTCCTAAAAAAAACATCTCAGTAGTTTCCTTGAGGGAGAGTGTTTCATGTAGGGGGAGGGAGGGTGGTGTCATCCAGCAAACCAAGTGTGGGACGCCCTAAGAGAACCAATTTATACTGGGCTGCAGAAAGAACTGTGGCCAACATCCCACTCTGCATTCCCACTCCTCGGCTGCTAGTTTATTACACTTTATTACACTGCAATAAAAATAAATTTTTTCAAGGGCCTCAAAACTAGTGCAAAGGCTTTCAGGTTTTTTTCACCTGCAACCCTAGTATTATGAAACAGATTTTAAATTATAACTCTACGACAAACACCAATGTGTGTATGCAACTAAGTTAAAATTTACCATTATTCTGTTTTTCTGTTCTATTCCCTTCCCTCCCATCCCATCCCAATCCATTTCATTCTATTCCCTTCCAACAAGGAATGCTGGTCAGAACCCAATAAATTGATTTCACTACCCACTTTTTGAAAAATACCAGATTAAACTGAAGTATTGTAAAAATTTCATGTGAAGTGGTGAGTTTAGTTTCCTAAAGCTTGTGGGCAGATGGCTGTGTAAAGACTGGTGATCAAATACCTATAAAATAAATTTAGAAGTCAAAATGTTGACCATGTGGACACTGGGACGATAATGGGATGACAGATGCTTGTCAGGGCAAGCAAGCTCCAGCACAAAGGCGTTGAGGAGTGGATTTTGGGAGTTAGGGATTAGGAGCTGGGCAGGTTATAAGATCATCTAGGAAGTGTGCTACCCATGCCTACAGTATTCAGTCAAGGGGGAGACCTCCAAAGAACCCACAACTGTTTTCTACAAAAGAGCTGGCATTTGGCTAGAAGTCACTGTTAGCCAAAGGAAAACTACAGTGGCGATACATTTTTTTCTGTCTGTCTATCTTCTAACATTGGAGCAATGGAGAGATAAAAGAAAAAGAACATAAAAAATGAAACAAAGACAATATTTCCACCCTTCTCGACCTTAGGTTAATGGACCAAGGTTTGTGCCTCAGTTGGGGGATACAGGAAGCTTTGAATTAGATATCCCATTTTTGATGTTATACCCAACTGTACATTTTAATATCCAAAAGTGGGTCTAAGTTACCTAGTAAAGATAATTTAATGTTGGGGGATACAGGAAGCTTTGAATTAGATATCCCATTTTTGATGTTACACCCAACTGTACATTTTAATATCCAAAAGTGGGTCTAAGTTACCTAGTAAAGATAATTTAATACCTGAAGTATTAGAAAATTAAAGAGATCTGCTTGAAATATTCAGAAGCAAAAAAGGAGTTTTGAAATAAAGTAGTTACAGGAAAAGAAAGCTTTTTTTGTTTATACTTTCATTGAGTCCAGTCATTTTTCAAAACGAATAAACAATATACTAGCTGTAATATACATAATGCCATGTTTCCTCATCTTTGTATTCCCAGAAATTGTCAAAATGCCTGGCACAAAGTAAGGAATCAGTGGATATTTGTTAAGCATTACATAAATTAATATATGTTAAATGAGTGATATAATTCAAAAATAAGTATGAACCTTAATAGAGTTGATACAATATAAAGCAAATTTTTGAAAATATGATTTAAACAAATACATTTTTAAATTTAAGGTAATTGGCTGATAGTAACTCTAGTGGTTTGAAAAAAGAAATTGATTTTTATAAATTATGATGATAAAATTTACTTATTTGAATGCTGGTTAAAACACAGGTTCTGGAATCATATGACCTTGTTTGAGCTGACATTTAATAATGTTCTTTTCTTTTTTTCTCTCTTTTGGCCTTGGACAAATAAGTTAATCTTTCTGAGATTCAGGATCCTTGACTGTCAAATGGGAATAAATACTATTTATGTCTTAGGTATCATAGGAGTAAATTAAAATAAAATAAAGAAATGTATTTAACGTATCAATATCCATACAGCAAATAAATGCTCAATTAGTAATACTCTTAACACAACAAAAATAGTAGCATTTAAAAACCACCTTTTTCTCTATATTTTTAACTTAACATTAACATTCCATGTGCTAAGTAGTGCTACTTTCCCATCTAAATGACCATATAAACAACCCACCTAATCATTTCCTCCGGGTATCTTACAACAATAATTGGAGCTCTTTGTATAGTTTACTTTAAACTTTGAAAAATGCTATCTTCTTTCCACCAAAATCTAAGTTACCTTAATAAATATTTTAAGGAAGCTGTGTCTGAGCTGGTTGTTTCTACAGCTCCTTATCCCACGAGAGAAGTAGGTAGCATATCTCAAATATAATACTATTAGGGAGGTTTTTGTAAATGTAATTATCAATTTGTTCCACAAACACATATTTTTCAACCAGATTAGTGATATGATAAATGGTCAAAAACAATTACATATTCTTCAGGCAAGCATTAATATTTTAACTGACTTTATATATTATCTTTCTAATACTAATCTTCCTTCAGAAGATTTGAGGCTTAAAACTATATATATACGTGTTTATATTTGTATATCTATTTTAAATTTATATTTTAATATGTATTATATTTATTTAAAAAGTTGACAGCACTAAATATGTATCTGAGATCAAATTTCTTAATATACTTACAGAATGTTAGTCATCACTAGCTATTTTTAAATTATCTCATTACTTTGTTTTCTTGGCTTGTTAAAATATGTACAAATGAGTTCTCAATGTCAATAATTTAATCATAGATAAATTTACTGATAATTTAACTCTTTTACTAGTGTAGTCAGGCTATATTTAATTGGAAAATAACATATTAGTTGAATGAAAACCAATTTCAATATCTGAATTAAAATTTGAGTAAAAACGTGCATAAATACCTAAAAATTAAAACTCATTTTTATGCTCTAGCCAAAGCTTTTA